ACAACCACAGATACTTCGTCTCTACCTCGGAACAACCCAAGATACTTCGTCTCTACCCCGGAACAACCCAAGATACATCGTCTCTACCCCGGAACAACCCAAGATACATCGTCTCTACCCCGGAACAACCCAAGATACTTCGTCTCTACCCCGGAACAACCCAAGATACATCGTCTCTACCCCGGAACAACCCAAGATACATCGTCTCTACCCCGGAACAACCCAAGATACTTCGTCTCTACCTCGGAACAACCCAAGATACATCGTCTCTACCTCGGAACAACCCAAGATACATCGTCTCTACCCCGGAACAACCCAAGATACTTCGTCTCTACCTCGGAACAACCCAAGATACATCGTCTCTACCTCGGAACAACCACAGATACTTCGTCTCTACCCCGGAACAACCCAAGATACTTCGTCTCTACCCCGGAACAACCCAAGATACATCGTCTCTACCCCGGAACAACCCAAGATACATCGTCTCTACCCCGGAACAACCCAAGATACTTCGTCTCTACCCCGGAACAACCCAAGATACATCGTCTCTACCTCGGAACAACCACAGATACATCGTCTCTACCTCGGAACAACCACAGATACATCGTCTCTACCTCGGAACAACCCAAGATACTTCGTCTCTACCCCGGAACAACCCAAGATACATCGTCTCTACCTCGGAACAACCACAGATACTTCGTCTCTACCTCGGAACAACCCAAGATACATCGTCTCTACCTCGGAACAACCACAGATACTTCGTCTCTACCCCGGAACAACCCAAGATACATCGTCTCTACCTCGGAACAACCACAGATACTTCGTCTCTACCTCGGAACAACCCAAGATACATCGTCTCTACCCCGGAACAACCCAAGATACTTCTTCTCTACCCCGGAACAACCCAAGATACATCGTCTCTACCTCGGAACAACCCAAGATACATCGTCTCTACCTCGGAACAACCCAAGATACATCGTCTCTACCCCGGAACAACCCAAGATACTTCGTCTCTACCTCGGAACAACCCAAGATACATCGTCTCTACCTCGGAACAACCCAAGATACATCGTCTCTACCTCGGAACAACCACAGATACTTCGTCTCTACCCCGGAACAACCCAAGATACATCGTCTCTACCCCGGAACAACCCAAGATACATCGTCTCTACCTCGGAACAACCCAAGATACTTCGTCTCTACCTCGGAACAACCACAGATACATCGTCTCTACCTCGGAACAACCAAAGATACATCGTCTCTACCTCGGAACAACCAAAGATACTTCGTCTCTACCTCGGAACAACCACAGATACATCGTCTCTACCTCGGAACAACCAAAGATACTTCGTCTCTACCTCGGAACAACCCAAGATACTTCGTCTCTACCCCGGAACAACCCAAGATACTTCGTCTCTACCTCGGAACAACCACAGATACATCGTCTCTACCCCGGAACAACCCAAGATACTTCGTCTCTACCTCGGAACAACCCAAGATACTTCGTCTCTACCTCGGAACAACCACAGATACTTCGTCTCTACCTCGGAACAACCCAAGATACATCGTCTCTACCTCGGAACAACCACAGATACTTCGTCTCTACCTCGGAACAACCCAAGATACTTCGTCTCTACCTCGGAACAACCACAGATACTTCGTCTCTACCCCGGAACAACCCAAGATACATCGTCTCTACCCCGGAACAACCCAAGATACATCGTCTCTACCTCGGAACAACCACAGATACTTCGTCTCTACCTCGGAACAACCCAAGATACATCGTCTCTACCCCGGAACAACCCAAGATACATCGTCTCTACCTCGGAACAACCCAAGATACATCGTCTCTACCTCGGAACAACCCAAGATACATCTTCTCTACCTCGGAACAACCACAGATACTTCGTCTCTACCCCGGAACAACCCAAGATACATCTTCTCTACCTCGGAACAACCACAGATACTTCGTCTCTACCTCGGAACAACCCAAGATACATCGTCTGTACCTCGGAACAACCCAAGATACATCTTCTCTACCTCGGAACAACCACAGATACTTCGTCTCTACCTCGGAACAACCCAAGATACTTCGTCTCTACCTCGGAACAACCAAAGATACATCGTCTCTACCTCGGAACAACCCAAGATACATCGTCTCTACCTCGGAACATCCGAAGGGGCATCGACGATACACAAGAAGCTACCTCGGAACATCCAAAGTGACATCGTCCCTACTTCGGAACAACCCAAGAGACATCGGCTGTACCTCGGAACATCCGAAGGGACATTGACGATACACAACAAGCTACCTCGGAACAAACACATTGACAGCCATGTCTGTCACAGAGGAAATGAGCGCGGTGTCACTACCAACCTGGTGTAATATGATAAATGAAGGCGGCCATAGAGAACGGGAAGCACTCACTTAACCAGCTAGCAACCGTGATTATTGTCACAAGGGAAAGAAGACTATGTTCCCCTAGTCCGACAATAGTAACTCTGCATGGGGGAGCAATGGCTGCAAGGTTTTGATTACCGAAATCTCCCCTGTGTTGAAAGTCCTTGTCTAAGTTACCCTCCCTCAAATAGCGTTTAAATTGCTCCAGTTGTCTCCCCTGCTGAGACACGTAGGGAGCAATCATTTCTATTGTTTGTGTGGGCGATGTTGCTATTGTGAAGTCAGGCGAGACAAGAGCAACAACTGCTCCCCCGACTCGAGATGCCACCATCCTAAAACACCCGGCACAGTGGTGAAATGGCTAATGGCGTTGTTTGTAATTTGTCTCCCTGTCCCCGGAAATATAGCCCCCACTTTTCACCCCCTGTGTTGTCGTTTCAAGCGACGTCTAATGATCCTGGTAACGTGACCTCGCTATACACTAGGCCGGCTATCAACATGTGTTCGCCCAAAGCCAAACTATTTACACGGCCTTTCATATCTGCACACTTAAACAAGATATGTGATAGTAGCTAGCATATCCTGATTTACCACAAAGGCGAGATAACAAATTAAACATACAAGTCACGAAAGTAGAGTTCGCACTGTTGCATTTTTTATCGCAGTTACCAACGACGTCTTGACACATTATCAAACCTTTGAGTATCACAAATCTACATGCGATATCATTCTAGATCAATTAATAGTAGTTTAATCACATGAATTCCTGATTGTAAATATCGCCTATCATTTATCAAATTCTTCTTCCAATATTAATGTTAGTTTTGTTAGCTTATAAAACATGTTTATCAATATGATATTCCGAGATGCGCTATATCGATATATGGATATCTCAATCACAATGTGTCGTTGATATAGAAATTTGATGTCGAGCAGCTAAAGTCTATTTTTTACGTTATAAAAGACAACATTTTTCAGTAGTTCATTTCCAGGGTGTATTGGAGAGTAACAAGAATTTGAGTGAGTGAGTATTGTTTTACGCCGCTTTTAGCAATATTCCAGCAATATCACGGCAGGGACACCAGAAATGGGCTTCACACATTGTACCCATGTGGGGAATGAAGCCGGGTTTTCGGCGTGACGAGCGAACGCTTTAACCACTAGGCTACCCGACCGCCCCAACTAGTATTAGACGTCGTGACACATGCGATGTGTGTTTTGGTTACGTGCGTAGAATCGATCGAACCCTTCCACAGTAACTCGCTGTACTACCCTATTTCCCAACGCTGTACTACCCTATTTCTCAAGGAAATATACCCGTGAAGATTCCGGGGTAGAATAGGTCTTCAGCAACCCATGCTTGCCGTAAAAGGTGACTATGCTTGTCGTAAAAGGCGACTAACGGGATCGGGTGGTCAGGCTCACTGACTTGGTTGATGCATGTCATCGATCCCAATTGCGTAGATCGATGCTCATGATATCAATCACTGGATTGTCTGGTCCAGACTCGATTATTTACAGACCGCCGTCATATAGCTGGAATATTGCTGATTGCGGCGTTGAACAACAAACCAACCAACCAACTCAAGGAAATAACATAATATGCTGCAAAGTATATTCGACGGCAGCAAAACTGACCCCACTGACGTCAAAACGTCTAATGTGACGCGCAACTGATATGACGTCAGGGTTCGGAGATTAGAGCACCAAATATATAACTCTATATTGTTTCTAAATGTATGAGTGAGTGAGTGAGGTTTTACGCCGCTTTTAGCAATATTCCAGCAATATCACGGCGGGGGACACCAGAAATGGGCTTCACACATTGTACCCATGTCGGGAATCGAACCCGGGTCTTCGGCGTGACGAGCGAACGCTTTAACCACTAGGCTAACCGCCCCCTAAATGTATGATATATAAACAGATTATTATACGAGCATGTTTGTCATATGAATTTTATTAAACGAGTGTCAGAGATGGTGGGTACTGCATTTATTCTTACACGAGTTTCGTAAATATAGACTAAACTAGCGAAAGCCAGTCATATACCAGAACTATTCACGAGTTAATTAAATTGGTATTACATGGAAGCAAGTTTAGGATTTTATTAAAAATGCACACATCGACGCGATCCACGACATAAACCAAATGAGTTGAAAAGAATAGTACAAATTTAAACACAAGAAATGTTGACAAGTATGAATTTAAAACCCCCATACAACGGCCTACCTTTTAAATTCAAAGCCACAAAGTATACAAACATGTCACATTACCCCACGACGTAAGTTGTGAAATTTTGAAACTCTTATGCGACATTGTGAAAACAATAAGCAGATTTAGACAGTGTCGTGACCTATTTTTATCTTCCCATTTTTATCAAAATAATAACTAAGCCACTATTATTTCTACGTCAAATAGGCCAATTCTACGATTCTATTTGCCGTGGTGTGAAGTCGTCGAAGGGGTGGGGCTTTGGGGAGAGGTCTTGAAAGGGCTTGGTCATTGATGGGGTGGGGTCGGGCTGTGAGGACTTGGAAGGGTGGGGGCGGGGTGTGAGGCCTTGAAAGGGCTTGGTCATGGGAGGGGTGGGGCCGGGTTTTTAGGCCACAGAAGGGTTGAGGTCGGGCTGAGAGGACTTGGAAGGGTGGGGGCGGGGTATGAGGCCTTGAAAGGGCTTGGTCATGGGAGAGGCGGGGCCGGGTTTGAGGCTACAGAAGGGGTGAGGTCGGGCTGGGAGGACTTGGAAGGGTGTGGGCGGGGTGTGAGGTCTTGAAAGGGCTTGGTCATGGGAGGGGTGGGGTCGGGCTGTGAGGACTTGGAAGGGGTGGGGACGGGGTATGAGGCCTTGAAAGGGCTTGGTCATGGGAGGGGTGGGGCCGGGTTTGAGGCCACAGAAGGGGTGAGGTCGGGCTGAGAGGACTTGGAAGGGGCGGGGGCGGGGTGTGAGGCTATAGGGAGGGGTTAGTTCTTGGAAGGGGTGGAGTCGGGGTCGGGGTGTGAGGCTGTAGGGAGGGGGTAGTTCTTGGAAGGAGGGGCGGTGGGTCAGGCTATGGCGGATGGTTCTTTTCGGAAGGATGAACCAAGGATGGATCACAGAACAGTTCAGAAGGATACATTCCCTACCGTTTTGAACAGATATAGTTTAACACAACACCCACAAATAAAACAAAAAGATTTCTGGAACTGTGCAAACAATTTAACCTCGATTTAACATGCGTCAGCTGTCGAGCAGAACAATACTTGGAACATTAACTCAAATCAATAGCAGCATTAGACAATATTTATGATGATTACAAAATCAACACAAGATTAAAGCCATGTAAAGAGTGGTTCCCATGGAGATGGAAGTGCGAGTCCTATAGGGGGCCCAGCAACATGTGGAGTTAAACAGGGCCGCTCTGTAATCCCTCGATGCCATTTCCACCTCTCTTTACGATATACTAAGCAAAGGCATGTGACGTGTGTTTGCCACAGTGATTAATACTCGGCGTTATTGTATCTGAATCACTCTTCACCCCTTGAGCGACGATCTTTTAAATCACAATGTAGTAACAGTTGCGACACCCACGGGGAAAACTGGCGGCAGCCATCTTGAAATACCCAGCCGAGAAGAGTAATAACTTTGTGCCTCAATCAGTCGTGAGAGTTCTCTACGACCAAAAGCTGCTTGACGATTGTAAGGGGTCATATTGTTAATTCGTCCCCGATAACTGCCCGTGCTTGCCCTCCGCTTCTGTCTTATAGTCAGAGTGTCCGGAGGTGTGTTTTTGACAACCGTGTACAATAGCTCCGCCATTGATCACAGCGCCACCTACCGAGTGACGCTGTCAGTGTCGTCTGCTGCACGCTTTATATCGTCTGACCAGGTAGGACATGTCGTCTGCTCACCACGATACATTTGGGGGAGCGTTGCGAAATTGGAAATGTTTGATTTATGGGGAATCTGTCAGCGATTTGGCACCCGTTTCCTCTCCCTTGTGTTTCAGACTTCAGCAGTGACCTTGGTTTCTCCTCGAGGACGAGTGACACGTTGGGATGACATACCTGTACCTGCGCCATACTCAGGCAGGAAGCACGGACAGCAGGACAAGATATCACAGACGACACATCGACATTAATCACTTCTTATTGTTCCACGTGATCTTCGGGTTTCAGCAATCAAATTCCTCAGTCACAAAAACTGTTCAGATTTGAAAAAGGGGTCTCTTAAATGAAATCGTACACATGCCATTATATATATTTATACTCAAAAACCCTGAGACCCGAGAACGTCCAGTTCATTTGTGGCAAAAATTACAGACAATGAAAATTGTTGTTTAGGCCCGCACAAAAGGCGGACAAATTTATTACAAGGTATATACGCCTAAGCGTACAATTTGCCAATCCGAAATTGTATAAAATAAGCCACAAAGGTGGGGGAATCAACGCATACACGCACATGAGTAAGAAAAAGGAACCTAAATAGCGAGAAAGAGAGGAGGAGGCTTGGGAGGAGGTGGTTTTAAGTTGCTACAATGAGACAGGGCAAAACACGTCTGGAGCGGGCGGAGATGCGTGTTAATCAGAAAGCTAACGTGGATGACGTCACCGTTTACGTCATATCTTTTAAGTGACGTATTGATTCCCGCCATGAGGTGTAACCGGGCAGCGCACATGAAGCGCAACTGGGTTTTTTCCCATCAACAATTTTTTTGAAAATGTTTGCATTTATGGTCATTATGGAGTGGCCTTAGTGAGTGAGTTTTGCACAGTGATCGAGTATAATCACCATAACAAAGGCAATGTAGTACATTGTTTGAGTAGTTCTTTGCAAGTCTATTTGGTCTGTTGAGTTCGTTTGTATATTGGTGACAGCCAGTTGAACGAGATAGGCGTCCAAATGGACACAGAAACGAGTAACGAGTAACGAGCAGTCATCAATTTTTTTGCTTTAGAGAAAAGCACTCACCAAGATATTCAAGAACGCATGTTTGGAATGCAAGGGGTGTGATCCTTATTGATTACTTGGAAAGTCAAAAGACGATTACTGGTGCCCACTATGCTGATTTGCTTCTGCTGAATGCTGGCTGCTGGAGTTCTGCATTTTCATGACAATGCCTCTTCTCATACCTCTCGACTTGTTCTGAAAAGCACGTTAATGTTGAAAAATTAAATTAAAAACACGGTTTTAAATATATTTTATTGACATATATGGTCAACGGGATTGGGCAAAAGTTATTCAACTCAGGTAGCCCTTTCCCTAAAATTCACAATTGTTTGTTAGGCTTAGAACTCTTTGACCAGCCCTGGTATATCTGATTCTTACACCACTAAAGGTCTGAATTGTGCACAGCGAATCGCGGCAAGCACAACACTTGGATTCTGTTCCGATGTTTGGAAATCATCAGAAACATTCTGGTATAACATGCGTCGTCGAGACGGTCCCCTCAGTCATCATTTCCGTGTGGGGATCCCGTAACAGAATAGACTCCCAACTCCCTAACGTTTGGGCGGTTGGGTAGCCTTGTGGTTAAAGCGTTCGCTCGGTACGACGAAAGCCCGGGTTCGTTTCCCACATGGGTGCAATGTGTCAGGCCCATTCCTGTGATCTTGCTGGCATAGTGCTAAAAGCGGCGTAAAACCATACTCACTCATCCTATCTTTGTCGACTAGCCGACTCGTATGAGGATTGAGTGGCTCTAATGTGTGCTAGCTGATTGTGTGTCACTCTACTCCATTGTGTGGATCATTCGTCAAATACCTCATCATTTCTCCAGTACAGATTCAAGCGATTTATTACATAGCGTCGTGATGATGATGAACTGCCAACTTCAGCGTAAAACTGCGTTCACTCTCTCAAAACACAAGTTAATTATTGTTTATATCGTTTATTCACGACAACGTCTTTAAATATTGCAGATAGGTTTGAAACAAAAAAACATTCACTCACAACAAAATTCCGATCTTTCGCTTTCAAAAATACATGTGAATTTGTGCTCATCGTCATTAACCCGTCTATGTCATGTTCTCATTAATGATAAAAAAACACGTTGAGATCATCCCCAGCAATGACGCCCGAGTTCGGAGATGAGCTTTTTTATTTCAGTAATGGCATCGAGGGCCTCAATACGAGAACCTCTCTGAGCAGGAACTCCAATTTTCAAATAACTCTGAGTTTTACAGTCGGCCATAACACCCCCTCTCCCTGCTGCTGCTGGCGTGTCTCCTCGCCCCCTCATTAACCCATGGCCTCGCGCTGTGTTATGTCTGGTTATTGACACGATATTTTTTCGGCAACGTTGCGTCCCAGTCGGTCAGCTTTAATCGTGAAATTTGACCGTGTTATAAATGTTCACGATAAAGCGTCTAACTTTCTCTTTAAATGTCACCCGTTGTTGCTAATGACCCTCACAAAACCTCATTCCTTACAACTTTATGTAGAGAAATCAACCGAAATGGATTGTCTTGTTTGAAAACGCTCCGGAGATCTATAAAATACAAGGTGTTTGAAATATTATGGCCATTTATGAACTAACTCCCTTTGTCTTGGCAGCAACAGTATTTGCGATGACAATAAGTTTTTTAGTAGCGTGGGAATGTTTCTACTGAAATAACTAATTATGATATCCGTAGTGTTCGACTGTTTATTTAATCATTGAAATATGAACTATTTTTATTTTTCTTAAATGCGTCAAAACTGTGTTAACAGTGTTTGTTTATAATAACTACTCGGTAACAATCTTCTTTTGAATCTTTTCAAACAGAAAAGCGACGATTTCATGTTATGCCGTTACACGCTCACCTGGCTAGGGCCTAGGTGGTAATAGACATGAAGAAGCGGAGTGGGGGGGTGGGGGTGGGGGTGGGGGGTGCGTGTGTGTGTGTGGGGGGGGGGGGGGGGGGGGGGGGGATGAGGCAAGAGGAGGGGGAGATAGGCGTTGAGTTGTACATACAGAATTTCTGAATTTATTTAATCGATATAATGAAAGTAGCTATCAATCAGGTCAATTTCATTTTTGTCCTTAACTCAAAATAGGATTCGAAGTCCTCCCCGTATATATTTTTGGCTGTTATGATCAGCTCAATGTTCGTCTTCTGTCTGTCATTTTATTGTTTTATGTGTATACGTGTTTATTGTCTTATTGTGTCTCATACGCTTGACGTTACTTTTAAATAATATATTTAATATTTGTATACACACAGCTTATGTAATGTTTAACACATAAATAAACTATTTCTCTCTCTGTTTAATCATTGAAATATGAACTATTTACAAACACAACTTTGTCAAATGTGTTTGGGTCCTACTCGGGACCCACCACGGGTCGGGTGGATCCTGAGTAGGACCCGGGTACCCACAGGACTACCCGGACCCGTGGTTAGTAACGTGATATATTGTTTAATGACAAAAATTCACTATAGCTCAGTGATTACGCTACAAGTCACAAATGTTCGCATTTCTTTCTGACGATGCACACATTCCTTTTGACTTGTATATATTTAAGTAAAGATAAAGCTTCAGTAAACTTCAGTGAACGCAGGACCTGATTGTTTGATACAGGTATCTTAATAGTTTCAGCCAGGGCTGTGGTAAAACAAGCACCAAACAGATATTTTGTTCCCTACTCTTAAGACTTGCAGAGAGTACCCGGGTAGGGTCGGGTAATAGGGGGTCGTCGTGTAAATTTGGACTCGTTTCAGCCCTAGTAACAGTCTTCTAAATTATTTTGTCTGTGATCTAACTGACGCGCTCCAATTTTTTCACCAAAGTGGTAACCGTCTAAACCCTCCACCACACTGGGCTCCCCCCCCCCCCCCCCCCCCCCCCCCTGACACACACACCGAATTTCCTCTCACATTGAACTGACCAGCTGAAATATCTCCACGCCTCTAGGTCAGCCACTATCATTCACTCACTCACTCACTCACTCACTCGATCCTGAATCACTGTGACGTCATAGTCCCGCCGAGGCTCATCGCTAGTCTTATGGCTTATCGAACGCCTCTTAATCACCGCGGCAATCGTGTAATCAAATTAGCAAGACTACACTGGGATTATTAATTTCAATCCAGTGGTACTTAGAGCAGACCCCAGCGTCTGCTATACGAGAACCGACCGGGGAATGGTGGCACAGACACCAGCGTCTGCCCTCCGAGAACCGACCGGGGGTTATTGCCACAGTCTACCGAGAACCGACCGTGGGATTTTTTAGCATAGCCCAATGTCTGCCAACTGAGAACCGACCGTGGAATGTTGTACCATGCCCAAATGTCTGCCAACCGAGAACTGACCGGGGGATGTTGTATCAGAACCCAATGTCTGCCAACCGAGAACCGACCGGGGTATGTTGTATCATACCCCGATGTCTGCCAACCGAGAACCGACCGGGGGATGTTGTATCATACCCCTATTCTGCCAACCGAGAACGGACCGGGGAATGTTGTATCATACCCCGGTGTCTGCCAACCGAGAACCGACCGGGGGATGTTGTACCATACCCCAATGTCTGCAAACCGAGAACCGATCGGGGGATGCTTTGTTTTTCAAAACCCTGAATCCGTCTCTGTACATTAAACTTTTAATGTTTTCGATACCTTTATTAGTAAATATACATTCTTAATGGCAGTGTCGTTTATGCATTCATAAAAGTGGTGTTCCTACAATCATTTTATGAAATTGGTGGTCTTGAGTTTATGGAAATCAGAAGGCCGTCAACTCGCACGCAGGATCTGAATGAAAATGGCCCCACAAGGGTACATATCCCAGAACCCTTTATCACCATAACAACGCCGCGACGAGGGCGAGGCATTCCAACAGACATCTCCGTCCGCCAACATGTCGCCAGATCCGCAGCCGGACCGCGTCAAGTTTTATATGAAACCACTTGCACGCGCTTTTCCCCGCGTCCATTTACGATG